TCATCATCATCGTCATCATCACCACAATCATCATCACCACCATCATAATCATCGGCATATTTATCATTGTCATCGGTTTCTTTTTGCTTTTTTGACCTTGACGTCACTTGTCGAGATGTTGACGTGGTGGTGATGACGATAACGATGATGATGACGATGATGATAACTATGTTAATAATGACTATGAAAATCATAGTGTTGAAATCTTAGTGATGATGACGACGACGACGACGATGATGAATATTTCAAATACTCTCACAAAATTAGAGCCATTCGATGTTATATCTCAATTAGGAGCTAAGCGTGAAATAAACTGGAGATAAATAATGAATTATTACCTTCCATTAATTTTATATGATTGCACGTAGAAAAATATAAAAATACATTTCCATATCCAAGCATGGAAACAAGTTTCGAATGTTCTGGTTCGAGTTTTCCAAGCGTGCATTTGAATGCACCGCTTTTGGATTGATCAGCCGTGGTAAGATGTTCGGATCATCTTTGTTGTTGTTGTTGTTTTTATTAAGATGCTGCAAAAAGTTGGAGTATTTTAGGCTGATGTTGTCGATGCAATTGGTATGGTCAGTGTGACTTCTTTCATTAAGTTAATTTTATCATTGGTTGCTTTTTTGTTTAAACCTGCTTTTGGTATCCCATACAAAAAAGGCATACAAACATGCACATACAAAGATTCTCACCAACGGCACTAACCGCGTCAACGTCGATTCGTTACCAATACATCGGCATATTCTCGTAGTAATAAAAAATAATGCCAGATAAAATATGATGAATGTTTGCTTTAAGTGACTCTACCTATATCTACTCTCTCTCAGTTTTCTCTCTTTTTTTCTCTTTCTCTTACTTTCTCTCCTTTAGAAAACTTCAACAAGCATATATTTTCTCATTGAAGACCCACTCACTCTGTCAATATTTCAATCAATTGCGAATTTTGATTTTATAACGTGAAAATTTTTGCCATAAATTTAAATTGATTCGATTTTTTAGTTCCGAAAATAGTTGCCAATGCTATTGAGACATATTTGCTTAATACAAACTATGCATACTTCCGTAGATAATTAATATATATCTATATACAACCAATGCAGAAAAACAAAATAAAAAATGATAAAGTTTTATATGATATCTAACTTTATCGAGACATATCATTAATTTAATGATCTGTTCCGATTTTCGAAATGCCTGAATAAGGTATATCAGAGTTTTATAAAGATGAAACCCTATCTCTTTCAGCTCTCCCTAAAATTTAACTTCACCCAGTGCCTGGTGGAAGGCTTCCTCCTTTCCGTCCACGTGAATGATGCCGAACATAAAGTACGCCCTCCAAATGGACTTGTTCTTCACTACCTTGATGTATTGACAAGCCACGAAGTTCTCAATAGAATTTTCGTCTATGTCATGTTCAACATCGTCATCGTCTGAGTTCAAAGGGTCAGAATCCTCCTTTCCTGCAGCCGAGGAATCGTCAGAGAGGTCATCAAGTTCTTCCAACACATTTTCTTCATTTTCTTCATCATCGGAATCGTCCCACGATCCGTCCGTCTGTCCTCCAATTCTGAATAGCACTTCAGAGCTCCCATCTTGATTCCTACGAGATACTAAAGAGTTCTTTCTTGGCACAGGTGTTCCCAGGTTCAAACGCTGCAAAACAGTTGGGCTGGTCAGGCCTTTGTTGATGTTGTTGTTCAAGGAGATGTTGCTGTTCAATATTTTGTTGTTACCGGTGTTGTTGTTCAAGGGTTGCCGAAGGTTTGGACTGATTGTTCAAGCTGGAGATGTACTTAATATTGTTCGGGATTTGCAAAGTGTTAATAGTGATGCTGTTCAGGTTGACGTTGTTCCTAGGCGAGAAAATATTAGTGATCAGGCGCGGCGTCATGTTTCTGTTGTTCAAGTTAACCTCGTTGTTTAAGAAAGGTACTGCATTTGAATTGACTCGGCAAACATTGTTCATGTTGTCTAAACGTGGAAACTTGATTGGAATGTTTTGATTCGTGTTGTCCAAGCGGCGTGTAAACTTAATTGGAATGTTTTGGTTCAAGTTCCGAATGTCCTCGTTTGTGTTTATCAAGCGTGGAATCAAATTTCGAATGTTTTGGTTCGTGTTGTCCAAGGGTGGAAACTTGATTGTAATGTTTTGATTTGTGGTTTCCGAGCGTGGAAACAAGGGTGCATTTGAATTTACTAAGCGTGGTAAGATGTTCGGATTGTTTACGCTGTTTATGCCATAGTTCATCGGACAGCTGATGTTGTTAATGTTTCTCGGCATTGTTGTTATCATGTGAGATCCTGTCAACGCGTTTAAGGTGTTGTTGCTGTTCAATTGCTGCAAAACGTGTGAACTGTTAATTTTAATGTTGTTTAGGTTGACGTTGTTGTTTGGAGGCAACCTGTGAGAGACGTTCAAGCCAGTGTTTGTGATCAAGCGTGGCACGGCATTCGAATTGATCCGACGAATATTGTTCGAATTGCCCAACCGTGCATTCTTGTTTTGAAGATTCTGGTTTGTGTTGCCAGAATGCACCGCATTTGAATGCACCGCATTTGGATTGATCAAGCGGGGTAAGATGTTCGGATCATCTTCATTGTTGTTGTTGTTGTTTTCAACATGATGCAAAAAGTTGGAGTTTTTTAGGCTGATGCTGTCGATGCAGTTGGTCTGGTCATTGTTAACGTTGTCAGCGTTGTCAATGGTTGACGTTTTGTTTACGTTGTTTGGTACTCTTGGTATTCCACCCAAACATTTTGACTCCGCCAACTTATGTTTCCATTCCGTCTTCACATAATGGAGGACATCTGAATCTACTCCAGCTTCATCGAAATCAATGCGCATATGTTCCACGACTTTATTAATTACCTCGGCATATAGGTCAACCGTAGTGACATACTTGCCGCCAATATCGCTCGTCTTGTTGGCCATTTGTAGAAGAAATACTTTTTATTATTTTTACCACTATTATCATTGATTATTCCACATTCAGAGCCTTCATATATATATGCACAGAAAATCCTCGTAAACTTTACAATGTAACAAAGTTAATATTATTTAGAAAAGATCCTTAATTTTCTAATTAATTTTACAATGCGTCATAAAATATTTACTGCATTAATGACGACTTAATTACAATAGATAGAATTATCCGTAGTATTATTTATAAACGTTTTTAATTATCGTATAAGTGTGAATTAAGTTAAAAGTAATAAAAATTAAATTAGCAATTTTTGGTTTGTTTTAGTTCGTAATAAATTAATTTACTACTCTACATTGCAGTTCATTGACCTTGACATTGCACTACATTCCATATCAAAATAAGTATTAAGACTAGCATTGAACTAACTAAAACGAGACAAAAACACAAAGATTAAAACGGAAACCACACGAAAAATAGTTAAAATGAAAATTTTTAGCGTCGATTAAATTTTTACAAAATCTTTTACAAAATATTTTAAAAAACAATCTATCAATAAAATTGTCGTTTCTTTGCTTCTGTCATCCTATGGTTAAGATCGTAAACGTTGAGTGTTGAAATCTTAGTGATGATGACGACGACGACGACGATGATGAATATTTCAAATACTCTCACAAAATTAGAGCCATTCGATGTTATATCTCAATTAGGAGCTAAGCGTGAAATAAACTGGAGATAAATAATGAATTATTACTTTCCATTAATTTTATATGATTGCACGTTGAAAAATATATATAATACATTTCCATATCCTGAGTTTTGTGTTTATGTGAATAATGTTGAAAACAAAATTATACAAACAAGCCTAAATTCATCCAAATAATCAAACATGCAAACATAAGAACACAACAAAACACACAACATACACAATGCCAACATGAGAAACACTCAAAAACGCAAAAAACATGCAATACGACGTGCAATGCAATTTTAAAAACGTACCTACGTTTACACATGCTACATACAATATTCATACAAGAAACACACTTTTGAACATACAAACAACAGATATACACACAAACATACAAACATGCACATACAGACATAAACACAAACATACACTCATACATACACATAGACAGACAAACATGCACATACAAACATACACACCAACGGCACTTACCGCGTCAACGTCGATTCGTAACCTACACATCAGCTTATTCTCGTAATGAAAAATAATGCCATATAAAATATGATGAATGTTTGCTTTAAGATTCTCTTCCTATCTCTTCTTTCTCTCTTTGTCAGTTTTTTCTCTTTTTTCTCTCTCTCTCTTACGTTCTCTTTTTTTTAAAAACTTTAACAAGCAAATATTTTCTCATTGAAGACCCACCCACTCTGTCAATATTTCAATCAATTGCGAATTTTGATTTTATAACGTGATAATTTTTGCCATAAATTTAAATTGATTCGATTTTTTAGTTCCGAAAATAGTTGCCAATGCTATTGAGACATATTTGCTTAATACAAATTATGCATACTTCATTCAACTACCTAAAAAACAGCTGTCTGTCTGTGCGTGTAAGAGTGGTCTGCGTGTGTATGTGTTTACTTGGATTACACAATTTTTTACATAAAATAAATAACAATGATTGTTTTGGTCAAAACTTTTTTATTATAAAAGTTTGGCAAAATTGTAAATTTAAAGTCTCACATTGTTATATGCATTTTGATACATGTACGCATTGACCAAATAAGAAATGTGGTCAAAAAAGCTAAACGAAGAGAACCATTTAAAGCACCTATCGAAAAATATTAAAAAAAACTATACGTAGGTGATTAATATATATTTATATACAACCAATGCAAAAAAAAACAAAATAAAAAATGATGAAGTTTTATATGATATCTAACTTTATCGAGACATATCATTAATTTAATGATCTGTTCCGACTTTCGAAATGCCTGAATAAGTTATATAAGAGTTTTATAAAGATGAAACCCTATCTCTTTCAGCTCTCCCTAAAATTTAACTTCACCCAGTGCCTGGTGGAAGGCTTCCTCCTTTCCGTCTACGTGAATGATGCCGAACATGAAGTACGCCCTCCAAATGGACCTGTTCTTCACGACCTTGATGTATTGACAAGCCACGAAGTTCTCAATAGAATTTTCGTCTATGTCATGTTCAACATCGTCATCGACTGAGTTCAAAGGGTCAGAATCCTCCTTTCCTGCAGCCGAGGTATATAAGAGTTTTATAAAGATGAAACCCTATCTCTTTCAGCTCTCCCTAAAATTTAACTTCACCCAGTGCCTGGTGGAAGGCTTCCTCCTTTCCGTCCACGTGAATGATGCCGAACATAAAGTACGCCCTCCAAATGGACTTGTTCTTCACTACCTTGATGTATTGACAAGCCACGAAGTTCTCAATAGAATTTTCGTCTATGTCATGTTCAACATCGTCATCGTCTGAGTTCAAAGGGTCAGAATCCTCCTTTCCTGCAGCCGAGGAATCGTCAGAGAGGTCATCAAGTTCTTCCAACACATTTTCTTCATTTTCTTCATCATCGGAATCGTCCCACGATCCGTCCGTCTGTCCTCCAATTCTGAATAGCACTTCAGAGCTCCCATCTTGATTCCTACGAGATACTAAAGAGTTCTTTCTTGGCACAGGTGTTCCCAGGTTCAAACGCTGCAAAACAGTTGGGCTGGTCAGGCCTTTGTTGATGTTGTTGTTCAAGGAGATGTTGCTGTTCAATATTTTGTTTTTACCGGTGTTGTTGTTCAAGGGTTGCCGAAGGTTTGGACTGATAACGTTGTTGTTCAAGCTGGAGATGTACTTAATATTGTTCGGGATTTGCAAAGTGTTAATAGTGATGCTGTTCAGGTTGACGTTGTTCCTAGGCGAGAAAATATTAGTGATCAGGCGCGGCGTCATGTTTCTGTTGTTCAAGTTCGAGTTAACCTCGTTGATCAAGTAAGGTACTTCATTTGAATTGATTCGGCAAACATTGTTCATGTTGTCTAAACGTGGAGACTTGATTGGAATGTTTTGATTCGTGTTGTCCAAGTGGCGTTTAAACTTAACTGGAATATTTTGATTCAAGTTTCGAATGTCCTCGTTCGTGTTTTTCGGATTGTTTACGTTGTTTATGCCAGAGTTCATCGGATAGCTCATGATGTTAATGTTTCTCGGCATTGTTGTTATCTTGTGAAATCCTGTCAACGCGTTTAAGGTGTTGTTGCTGTTCAATTGCTGCAAAACGTGTGAACTGTTAATTTTAATGTTGTTTAGGTTGATGTTGTTGTTTGGAGGCAACCTGTGAGAGACGTTCAAGCCAGTGTTTGTGATCAAGCGTGGCACGGCATTCGAATTGATCCGACGAATATTGTTCGAATTACCCAACCGTGCATTCTTGTTTTGAAGATTCTGGTTTGTGTTGCCAGAATGCACCGCATTTGAATGCACCGCATTTGGATTGATCAAGCGGGGTAAGATGTTCGGATCATCTTTATTGTTGTTGTTGTTGTTTTCAACATGATGCAAAAAGTTGGAGTTTTTTAGGCTGATGCTGTCGATGCAGTTGGTCTGGTCATTGTTAACGTTGTCAGCGTTGTCAATGGCTGACGTTTTGTTTACGTTGTTTGGTACTCTTGGTATTCCATCCAAACATTTTGACTCCGCCAACTTATGTTTCCATTCCGTCTTCACATAATGGAGGACATCTGAATCTACTCCAGCTTCATCGAAATCAATGCGCATATGTTCCACGACTTTATTAATTACCTCGGCATATAGGTCAACGGTAGTGACATACTTGCCCCCAATATCGCTCGTCTTGTTGGCCATTTGTAGAAGAAATACTTTTTATTATTTTTACCACTATTATCATTAATTATTCCACATTCAGAGCCTTCATATATATATGCACAGAAAATCCTCGTAAACTTTACAATGTAACAAAGTTAATATTATTTAGAAAAGATCCTTAATTTTCTAATTAATTTTACAATGCGTCATAAAATATTTACTGCATTAATGACGACTTAATTACAATAGATAGAATTATCCGTATTATTATTTATAAACGTTTTTAATTATTGTATAAGTGTGAATTAAGTTAAAAGTAATAAAAATTAAATTAGCAATTTTTGGTTTGTTTTAGTTCGTAATAAATTAATTTACTACACTATATTGCAGTTCATTGACCTTGACATTGCACTACATTCCATATCAAAATAAGTATTAAGACTTGCTTTGAACTAACTAAAACGAGACGAAAACTAAAAAATTCAAACAGAAACCACACGAAAAATAGTTAAAATGAAAAATATTAGCGTCGATTAATTATTTACAAAATCTTTTACAAAATATTTTAAAAATTAATCTATGACTGCACGTTGAAAAATATATATAATACATTTCCATATCCTGAGTTTTGAGTTTATGTGAATAACGATGAAAACAAAACAAAATTAAATTCATGCAAATAATCAAACATGCAAACATAAGAACACAACAAAACACACAACATACACAATGCCAACATGAGAAACACTCAAAAGCGCCAAAAACATGCAATACGACGTGCAATGCAATTTTAAAAACGTACCTACATTTACATATGCTACATGCAATATTCATACAAGAAACACACTTTTGAACATACAAACAACAGATATACATACAACATGCAAACAAACAAACACAGACATACACACTGCATTTGAATTGTTTCGGCAAACATTGTAAAATTTACGAGGGTTTTCTAAAATTGTGTATATATATATATATATATATATATATATATATATATGAAGGCTCTGAATGTGGATTAATTAATGATAATAGTATTTCTTCTACAAATGGCCAGCAAGACGAGCGATATTGGCGACAAATATGTCACTACGGTTGACCTATATGCCGAGGTAATTAATAAAGTCGTGGAACATATGCGCGTTGATTTCGATGAAGCTGGAGTAGATTCAGATGTCCTCCATTATGTGAAGACGGAATGGAAAAATAAGTCGGCAGAGTCTAAATGTTTGGATGGAATACCAAGAGAAGCTGTAAACAAAACGTCAACCATTGATGACATTAACTTAATGAAAGAGATCATTGCTGACAACGTTAACACTGACCACACCAATTGCATCGACAATAGAAATAATAAAAGTAATAAAAATTAAATTAGCAATTTTTGGTTTGTTTTATTCGTAATAAATTAATTTACTACTCTAAATTGCAGTTCATTAACGGAATTTATCATTTAACCAACATCAAAATAAGTGTTAAGACTTGCTTTAGTTTTGGTTTGTTACAGAAATGTTTATTTGTTTTAAATTGCAGAACTTCTTTTACAAACTGTTGTAAATTTTTTTTGGTTAAGGTGTGTCGCATATGCTTGTACGTTCTCTAAATTTCAGACTTTCCGTTGTTTGACTGTATGATATACGTTAGTTCATTAATACTACATATATTCTTATTTAATTCTGGCTAAAAAAATATCAAACGTAAAAAAATATATATTTATATAGCGCAAAGTGTCTGGATTTTGTTAACGAAAACTAAAACATGCTAAACAGAATAAATTCGGTTAAAAAACAAAAACGGAGTTTTATCCAAAAAATTAATACGGAAACTACACAAAAAATAGTTAAAATGAAAAATTTTAGCGTTGATTACTTTTTTCCAAAATCTTCTACAAAACATTTTAGAAAATAATCTATTAATCAAATTGACATTTCTTTGCTTCTGTCATCCTATGGTTAGGATCGTTAACGTTGAGTGTTGAAATCCTGGCGCAGTTTTCCGATTTTCAGTTATTAATTTTGTTAAAAATTTTGTTCTTAATGGTTTTCGAAGATAAAAAAAAAATTTTAAGATGAGCAATCTTTCAGGAGGCTAAAGAGACTGTTCAATGGGGCATTATTTCAAATATTACATTGATAAGGATGCCTTCACGTGTTCGAAAAACTATCGTATAGGTAAAAAAAATTATGAAGGTTTAAAATTGTACTTATTTAAAACCTCATATGGAGACAAAAACTCTTGGTCAAAAAAAGCTAAAGATTGAAAATGCCAACAAGGTGACACATGCGTCTACAAAATCAAACGTTCGCCAAAAATTTTTTCCAATCAATCGGAGAAGATCGAAGATTCGATTGAATGCCACAGAAAACTTTTATAAATTACTGACGCTTTTTGTCGATTTAAAGTTGCTTTTAAGAATTTGGACAATCGAAACCCAATGAAATGTTTGGCGATTTCTGCTTCAGCAACTCTGTTGAATATTTGTAAATGAAAATATTTTAGGAAGTCAAAAGTTTTCGAGCGTGCAAAAAGATATATCAGAAAATCGATGAATAATCTGAGACGAAAGCAAAACCGAAAATTTTCTGGCAAAACTAAACGAAAATTGATAAGAGAAAAGTAAATGTGGCTAATGTTAGAATTCACGTGCCTCGGTGTTACAGATATTCATAAAAATTCAAATTCCTCTGTCTAATCTACACGTTTGAAGCTTTCCATGCACCTGATAAACACGACGCGTTTCTTTCTTTGTAACAACGCAAGACACTCTGGTTGAATTAGGAGCATAACTGCGCGCGTGTCCTCTACAGTCGTTTCCACAGTTTCCATGGAATACATCGATTACACAGAGTGAAAAGAACGCTTCCTGCCAGATATGCTATTTCACTGTCCAACCAAAACTTGGCTCCGACTGGGTGCCAATAAGTTTTATCCGAGGCACCATTACTACCAATACTATCACCTTTACTACTATCACAACAACTGCGACTACTACTGCTACTACTTCTACTACCACCGCCACAACAATTGCTACTAATACTACTATTTTTCTCTTTAGTTACTAGAAATATTTCTCAAGTACTTTTTTATGATTCATTGCATTAATCAATCAACGTTCTTTCGACAGCATGATGAATACCCTATCTGTACGCTACTACACCCACATACAGCAGATATACACATACTCTCACATGTGTAGACACTCATATTCACGTACACACACGCATTTGCACGCACAAACGAAGTCTCAATACACACACTGACAGACAGACACACATATACATATAATCAATTATTCATAAACACTTGTCGTATATCCAATATATCAACGTTGGGTTTTCTTTATGTAATTCATACATATTTGTATGTTTTGCAATGCCTGTATTTTTGTATATATTTGTATATTTTGTATATATTTGTATGTCTGTATGTTTTGTAAATGTTTATAAGTTTTGCACATGTTTGTATGTTTTGGAGATGTGTGTATGTCTTCTATATGTTTGTAAGTTTTGTGTATGTTTATATGTCTCTCTATTTGAAATGCATGCGTGGTGAACGCTTAAAAGGACCGATAATAAAAATATTTATGCCACATTGTTATTTTTTCATTCTCAATCTACAAACGAACAGAGAAGCAAATGTTTTCTGTTTGCACCATTCTTATTGAAATCAACAAAAAAGGAAAAGTTGATGAAATGAAGTTGTATTGATTATCAATTTCATTGCAAAAATTAACACTGGACCACGTTGTGAGAAACATCGTGAATAATTCAAGTGCTACCGAAACAATAAACTTCGTTTAATCTATCGAAGTGGAGATACGCGGATTTTACGCCTTCCAACTTGAATACGAAAACTGGCATGATGGACCGTATTTTCAGTGTTCATATCTTTAGAAAACTCCAGCCCTGAATAAAAATGTATTTTCATGAAGCTGATGTCGAGTGCAGAACGTCTAACTATTCTTTGACGTCTGTTTCATAGACACACAAGTACATTTCAAGTTTTCATGTTTTATGCACACTACACATGCAGCCGTTTTTAAATAAAGTCAGAAAATAAACCGGCTTATGTATATCACAAATTTTGGTTTTTCCCGCGTTTAAATTTTGGCCGCCCCTTCAAAATTTAAACATTTTGAAAAATTTGGTTACCCCCTTCAAAGTTGTCTAGGTCCGCGACTGTATGTGTGTTTGTGTAGCGTGTGTGTGTAGTGCGACAGTGTGTGTGAAGATGTGTATGTGTGTGTATGAGTGTGTGCATGAAGATGTATGTTGTATATTTCTGCTTGCACCGATAGTTCCACTTGCAATTTGTCATGATTAAAATTTGTTCAACTGTTGTCCTTCTCGACTTCGTCGTTGTCGATACAACTATTGTTGTTGTTGTTGCTGCTGCTGTTGTTGTGTTTGTTGTTGCTGCTGTTGTTGTGGTTGTATTTGTTGCTGTTGTTGTGGTTGTTGTTGCTGCCGTTGTTGCTGCTGTTGTGGTTGTTGTTGCTGTTGTTGTTTATCTTCTGATGTGGTAATGCATGTGATAGTTTAACTGTGTTAGTGTTTTGTTGGTGATAATTTTATTGTTGTCGCTACATTACGATTGTTACGTTTGTTGTTGCTGTTGTTGTATTTAATGTTGTTGTACTTAATGTTGTTGTATTTAATGTTAATGTGTTTATATTGATGTTGTATTTAATGTTAATGTGTTTATGTTGATCTTGTATTTAGTGTTATGTGTTTATGTTCATGTTGTTTTAATATCTGTTGCTTTATTTTTCATTTGTTTTTCAGTTTGGTGTATATTGAAGAACATATTGAACAGCAACATCTCCTTGAACAACGACATCAAAACCGGCCTGACCAGCCCAACTGTTTTGCAGCGTTTGAACTTGGGGACACCTGTGCCAAGAAAGAACTTTTTAGTATCTCGTAGGAAAGATGGGAGCTCTGAAGTGCTATTCAGAATTGGAGGACAAACGGACGGATCGTGGGTCGATTCCAATGATGAAGAGAATGAGGAAAAGGTGTTGGAAGAAATTGATGACCTCTCTGACGATTCCTCGGCTGCAGGAAAGGAGGATTCTGACCCGTTGAACTCTGATGGACGGATGGACGGACGGACGGATGGATGGATGGATGGATGGATGGATGGATGGATGGATGGATGGATGGATGGATGGATGGATGGATGGATGGATGGATGGATGGATGGATGGATGGAAGAATGGATGGATGGACAGAACGACGAAGGGATGGATATATGAATGGATAGATAGATAAAGTAATTAATTAATTATTAATTAATTAATTACTTTATTATTATTTATTAATTATTTATTAATTATAAATTAACTAAATAAATTAAGAAAAAAAAATTAATTATTTTACAATCTGCATTTTTTACAAGTAAATTTACGAGTTGACAGGTTTTCAGTTCCGATAACAATCAAGCGACAAATGAAAAAGCACAACAATCACAACAAACACAAATAGAGCCACTACGACTTCCACAACTACAACATCCACAGCAGCCACAACAACAACAATGGCATCATCATGATGCCTGTAATTACGCGGTATATAAATAATATATAAGTCATGAGATCAGCTTAATTGCATGTTGAAGAAAATAAAGGAAAGGTTCCTCAACTACATGTAAAGGTACCCTAATGGTTCTTTACTATCTTTCCTCGCGTTATTACACGCACATTATTATTTTTGTTTTTGTTATTTTTGTCGTTGTTGTTGTTATGCTATTAAGGTCTTCAGTTTTTGCGGATGTTAATTTGTTGTTGTCTTCGGTGTTTTGTAATTAAAGGTATCATATACTTGGAGAAGCAGATGTTATCATTCTCATTGTTATTATGGCCGCTATCAAAACTGTCATCATTTTCATTGTCCTTATCATCATCGGTCGTCATTATCATCGGTCTCATCGTCACCATCATCTGAAACATCGTCATCTTCACATTAATTAGATGCGTGCGGGTGTTTTCTGCAATTGAAAGTTGCATCTCGTGCTTGTTCGACGAACAGTTTTTGCTGCTTCTACTGCTACTTCTACTGCTGCTGTTGTTACTACTGCAGTTATTGTTGCTGCAGTTATTGTTGCCGCTGCTGTTGTTATGGTTGTTAATGATGTTGCTTTTATTGATGACAACTTTGTTAACGGTTTTGCGATACACACACAAACAAACATACACACACGCTCACACAAACACACACACACACACATACACACAAACATATATACATTCATACATACATACATACATACATACATACATACATACATACATACATACATACATACATACATACTTACTTACTTACTTACTTGCTTACATACATACATACATACTACATACATACATGTTAATCCATTTGTTACTTGATGTTTGACGGTTCAGTGTCACTCATCATGTTTTGGTTTTAACATACATACTTACATACATACTTACCTAGTTATTGATAATAATTTTTTATTAGGTTTGTACACACGCATGTACGCACACTGACGTACAAACACAGATTGTTAATCCATTTGTTATCTGATGTTTGACTGTTTAGTGTCATTCGTCATGATTTGGTTTGAACAAACACAAACATGTGTACATAATCGCACACACGTTTATATGACACTTTTACACAAACACACACAGATACATCTACACCAACAAACACACACACACACACACACTCAAACACACTCATACATATACCACACAATCTGAATGAGGTTATCTAATTATTTAATTTATTCTTCCTTCCATTACAAAACCATCAACTGCTGTTGAACGTGATCAACTATTGCAACTCAACTCTCATTTTCACACATTTTCTCTCTCTCCCTCTCTCTCTCCCTCCATCTCTCTCCTTTTCATTTATAGCTCTGTCTTCTGTCTTTTCTTGTAATGTTTCTGCAGTTTTTCATTCTTTCATTCTCTCTTTATGTCTTTCTTTCTCTTTCTCTCTCTCTCTCTCTTTCTCTCTCTCTCTTTCTTTCTCTTCCTCTTTCTCTCTCTTCTCTCTCTCACATTCTCTCTTTCTCAATATCTTGCGTTTTAATTTAACCGTTGAATTCAATTTAAACGTTGATTTCAGGGCTATCGTTTTGAAAAATTTATTTTCCAATTTTCCAATTTATTTTTTTTTAAATTATCAGTTTTCTTCTCGCAATGAAAACTATCGTTATCATTATCACCACCAAAAATTATCATCATCATTATCCTCACCATGTTACCACCATCGTTTTCGTCACCGTCATTGTCGTCATCGTTACGATTTGGTCATCTTTTTCATTTTTCAGTTGGATTACAGTGACCAGTTACATCATTTTTAACATTTTTTTCGTCAAAGTATGTTCATGTATCATCATCGTCATCATCGTCTTCACTACCACCATCATCTTCATCGTCGTCTTCGTCATCAACATCACCTTTACTACCATAACCACCACCACTATAACATAACAACAAATCCCCCGAAACTGGCCACCTGATATCCCTTCGTTCCCCTCTACAACCAGTGACTACTTAAAGTTCCAACCTGAAGTACCGAACCGAACAGGAAATAGAATCGAATATCGTTCCCAAATTTAATTATCGTCGGATCGCTACCTTTCATTACCGAACTACTTGCCCTTTCATTTCATCCGGAAGTTCATTCTTTTTGTCATTCAGTCGTTCATTCATCTGGTTGGTCGGCTATAAATAAATCTGTTTGCTTGTCTGATAGATTGTACGTGTTTGTGATGTTGTGAATGTGTGTGGATGTGGGTTGTGTGTGCTTGTGTATGTGCGTATGTGTGTGTAGTTATGAATGTATTTTTGTGTATATCTGCGTGGTGGATGTGTGTTTCTGTGTGTGTGTGTGTGTGGTGTGTGTGTGTGTGTGTGGTGTGTGTGTCGGTCTTTACATGCTGCGTTTTTGTTTCTAAAAAGATGTGTCATCTTCGATATTTCTGCTCTTGAAGTTATCCCGCCCTGCCGTCAGCTATGCAATCACGTGGTTGATGTTATTCATTGAACGCTTATATATTAATTGAAAGCAGTTTAAACTTTTGTACGAATCCATTTGAGCGTGTTTGCCCTGTATATGTTTACGTATCTATATATTTATAATTGTACGTTTGATTTTTTTGATTTTTATATTTTAAGTTGATATGTTTCGTTTAAATTTGTTCATTTAATGTTTGAACGCCGTGCTTTTCGCACTTCATCTCGTCTCCAACCGTTGTGGGGCGGGCGTCGCTCACATTTGTGGACGGACCTTTCTTGCTCGCTTTCAAAAATTCTCACATGTTATCAGGTCACTAAGTACATTAGCACTTGACCATTCATAAGTTGATGCATACATGCCTCACCTTTACATTCTTCATTTTTAGTAGATAACACATCGGTGCACATGTACTATGTGGATGGTTCTTATGCACTTGTAAGATAGCAAGCACACTGGTGCATATGTCCTCATTAGAAGGTAGATCGGTGCCCGTGTACTCGTCAAACGGTACATCGGTTCGAACGAACATAGTACTTACAAGATGGTACTTATAAGAAGCATTGTACAGCAGCGTTCATTATATTGCACGTGCTCCGTAGCGAACATTGAAGGGCAGACACGACAGCGGAAGATAAATTCATCCCAAACAGAAACATCTCTCCTCAAATACGAAAAAGCAATTGAAGTTTTTATAATTAAAAAACTTTCGCAAACAGAGAAAAAAAAACAAAAACAAAAAACTGAAAATCTCAACTAATAACAAAAGAATTTTTTTTTAATGGCTTATAACACGAGAGCGATTTGATTTTTTTGGAAATGTTTTGCAGCAGGCCAGATGGACTTAAAAGAAAAAAGAAGGGTGGAACGTGAGGTGACGTGATGACGATGACGATGATAACAGTTATGATATCGAGGGTGCCAATGCTAATGACAGTAAAGATGATAAAGGTATGATGATAATGAAGACAACAACCACGATGATGACGACGACGAAGATGATGGCTGGAGGGGTGGAAAGGATGGATAATAATAAAGATAGATAGACTTAATTCAAAATAAGTTAACTAACTGCTAGCTACGACAAACGGAAACTGAAAGATGCAAGTTAATGTCATCAGAGATGCAATTAGTTAGTAGCTGGTAAGAAAAACAATAAAGATAGAAAGATAGAGAGCAAGAGAAAGAGAGAGAAAAAGAGAGGGAGAGAATGGAAGATATTATATTAAAAGCAATAAAGAGGAGAGAGAGAGAGAGAGAAAGAGAGAAAGTGTGGAAGATATTATATTAAAAAGAAAGCGATAAAGAAACGAAAGAAAGAGAGAGAGAGAGAGAGAGATAGGGAGAGAGCGGCAAAAAATCTCGGAGTAAGATAGTAAGAGGATATAATTAAAAATGAGTTTTAAAAGATTGTATCTGCTAGCAAAACGTCAGTGAAGTGCGTCGTAAAAATGAATTTTATTGTTATTGTTAGTGTAGTTGCTGCTGCTGCTATTGTTGTTGATGTTGATGTTGTTGTTGTTGTTTTTGTCATCGTTGTTGTTGTTGTTGTCGTTTTTTTTGTTGATGTTGTTGTTTGTTATTGTTGTTGTTGATGTTGTTGTTGTTGTCGTTGTCGATTCTTGTCGTTTTTCCATCTTATTCAATAAAAATATTTTTATGACTGCCTCTCTTTGTGATAAATTTTAATTTTGCTGGTAATGTTCCTTAATTTTTTTACGTTATTATGTTGTCGTTGATGTTATTGATATTGTTGCTGTTAGTGAGCGAACGTCCACATACACACATACTCACACACACACATAATCACATAACACACACACACACATACATAACAAACACACAGCACCGGATTAAGCAATGAGCCCACTAAGCACGTGCTTAGGGCACCGCATGAAAAGGGGCACCGCGACGAGCCACCACAATTTTTTGCAATTACTAAATTGTAGCATGAACTAGCGTGATGTTCATTTGAAATAAATGAGTCATATTAATTAACTAACATTGTCTACAGGCAATGTTAGTTAATTAATTTAACTAACTTATGCTTATAACTTTAACTAACCCTAACCCCTGAATATTTAACTAACTTAATTTAACTTTTGATTAAGGGTTAAAGCTCTATCCGCTATCTTCAATCTTCTATTAATTACATGATGTGTTAATAAATGTGATGTTGTATAGATTATAGTATGCGTTATGTGTATGTGTATATAATATTGTATACAATACTTGGATTAGGTTGGTTGTTCGGGCACCATAATTGTTAAGTGCTTAGGGTCCCTGAATATGTTAATCCGGCCCAGCAAACACACACAACAGACAAATAAACAAACATACACACATAAAAAACACATAACAAACACACAAAAACACACATAACAAACATACATAACAAACAAACACACGCACACGCGCACACACACATACAAACCCTTGCACACGAGCGATACGGAAGAGTTGATGGCACGTACATTTAATATTGTCCAATTATTGTTGGATCCATCTTTAAAAATCTCCGAACTACGTGTGTGTGTGTAAGTCTGAATGCGTGTGTGTGTGTTTATGTATGTGTGTGTGTGTGTGGTGTGTTTATG